AAAAACATTCCGGGGGGCCAGCTGCCAGCACGACTTTCACATTCATGATTTACGATGCGTCTCCGATGGGCAACCGAAAGCGAGGCCATTCCCCAGCCAGGTGGCACAAATCAATGGGATCTCCCTGCTCCCCTAACCAGTTTTCCTAGCATTGTCTTAGCCATAGAGATCCTGGCGCAATCCAATGCACATCCCGGGCATTAATCAAGCATAAAAGTGGAGCAGACAGAGCAACCGAATTGGTAATAAGGCTGTGCGATAAGCCCCAAGGATATCATACAACAGACTGGGGCTTCTCCGACTTCAATTTATGCGTTTCTTACCTCTTAATATCTAAGCCGGAAATTGCGAGAAGAGAATTGCAAAAATGTTTCTTTAATTAGCAGCGTTAATTAAAAGCAGAGCGTATAATTAAAAAGAACCGCAGCGAACAAAGGCACAATAAAATGTCACTCTAATTGGCGTGCTCAGGTCATGTTGCATAAAAGCCAGAAATAAATAAAACAACTCAGCTGGCCTATGAATATAAATTGAAAGTGAAATGGAGAGTCGAAAAAAATGGAATGTAAATAGCCGTTTGTATCAATTAAACTGAAGGCCGGTATTTCGGGATACCAAGCAAAGAAAAACATTGAAAGGATAACAAAAACTAAAATAATCATAGTTTTTAGAGCTGTGTTTGGTTGTACAAATAGTTCATTGTAAGCCAAACAATATAAATTCTAACAAAGTGGCCCAATAAAATTCAATAAATAAATTGAAAAATAATAAGACTAACATACAATAATTTGTTCAAGCTAATATTTTATTGTAAATTAAAACCCAAATAAATTCAGTGACAACAAAAGAGTAACAAAAACTAAAATAGTAATATTTTCAGAGCTAATTTGGACTATAAATATATTCTATAATAATCTAAGCAATAAAAAATCAGCTTAAATGGCCAAAATAAATCCAATGATATATACATAAATTTAATTTGTAGTCCCAAAATAAATTCGCTTAAAATCTCAAATTTATAGCTGGCCAGATTGGTATAATTAGTTGATAAACACAAATGCCCCTTTTTAAATAACCAAAAATAAGGCAAAGTTATATTAAGTAAATTTATTTTTAAAAATATAAAAAACATGGTCTGCCTCAGCTGCTACAGTCTTTATTAATTGCATTGCAATGAACGTTGGCATTTTCGCACATATGGCAGAGCAAAAAAGGCCAAGAAATGTCAACCAGGCAGAAGCCCACACCCATATCCAATATATATGGTCGGAATTCTCGGAACGCATCGCCTGCGTCGTCATTGTCATGAAATGCACAAATTTATTGAGAGCATGTCGCGTATATATACCCCATATATAGTATATGCACTTTCCGGACAACATCGTCCTTGCCGGCTTTTGATTTAATTTTAGTACTTCTTGTTTATATTTTTAGTGGCAATTCCAATTACTCTGAGTTGTCAAGGAGCCGGTGCCCAGAAATAGCAATTTATATATATTATAGGCAAAGTACTTGTAACAACTTTGTATATTTATGTATTTCAGAAGGGCTGCCTGGCCTGTTTCGGGGGCAAAATGAGCACTTAATCATCTCTAGCAGATTTAATTAAATGCAGCAAAATAACAATCCGGCGAGCAGGCAGCGATATTAATCATACGTCATGTTGTCAGCTTTATGAAAAGCCTGCATAAATCTCTGCCAAGCCGCAGAATGCAGGCTGGTGTAAAAAAAAGTGCATGTGTGGGCGCTGCCTGGTGGCAAATTGTTTCAAATGTGCGCAATTTAAACGAAATTGAGAAACCAAAGGCGGAAAAATAAACGTTTCGGCTGCCTTTTCCTTTTGACAAATTTCCAAAATAAAAACCCCGGCAGCATTCGGTGGTTCTGGGTGTGCTGTAATAAACTGGCTGTGCCAAAAAAGTACACAAAAATCAGCTAAAAGGGGAAAATCCGAAAGAAAGGGGCAAAAAAGAAAGTAAACAGCAGCAGGAACAAATGGCTCGTTTGGCTAACCTTTTCTGTTTGGCTGCCTCTGCATTGCTTTTGTTTATAGAAAAGTTTAAATTGTGTCAATTTTTTTCCGACGTTCCATTGCCCGCGCCATGCAGAAAGTTTTGCGAACAAATGAAATGTGGGTAAAAACAATCTCCGAAATCAAGACAAGGACGAAGGCGACCTAGGACCGCCAAAAAAAGTGGGAACAAAGCCAACAAAGTGTGTTTTACTATGCCAGAGGAAAAAAGATGGACCCGAAGGGCTCCAACAGCTGGAGATTTCCAGTACTCCAATGAATTCAACTATTATGTATTTATTTCCCAGAGAGAGAGAAAGGGTTACAATCGGGGATATTTTAGATGTTCACCTGATGGGTCAGCATCGATAGATATAAAGCTTCCTATCATCATAGTTTCACTGCTCTTAACAGTTCACTGCGGTCCACTGAAGCGAAAGCATTTATTTTTGTTGAAATATTGATGGAATAGGGGGATTACAATTTCAGCACACACATAAATGTGGAATGTAAGCTGGCGTAAGTATATTACAAAAATTCAATCATGGAGTCCCATTTTATGCAGTTTAAATAAATTCCAAAATGGCAAGGACTTCGTGTAAGTTAATTACTTTGTATGTGAAACCTACATGGACATTCCATACGAGAAAATCAGATAAATCAAAGATTTAATCATTAAATGGGAAAATTCAATTAAAAGGTGATTTAATTTTATGAACTGCCAGGTATTTAGAGGAGAGCTATGTCATTAAGAAAAAGAAAATAAGAAACTATAGCATTACTGATAACATCACACCGAATACAATTATTTATCCATTAATATCTGACCAAAAATGTTTGCTATTATAATCCATTAAAAGAAAACCTCGACAAACAATGGAAAGTTTATAAATGCATTTTCATTAGTCGAAATTCAGATCGATCGATACTATTAGCCCTTAATTACATTTAACTCCCCCTAATGAGTGAGGTGCTTCCCTCGCTGCCCACCTTAAAAAACACCTAATTTATTGATTTATGTATTCAGTCCATTTGGGAAATTAGGTTTCAATCATTTCCAATTGATTTCTTTGTCGCCACCCAGAAACTTTTCTGGCAACTTTTAGCAGGAAAATAGTTTTGTCGAAAAATGGGGGGAAAAGTCTGTGGAATGGAATGCAAATGCTTGGTATCCGAGTGGCCGGCCAAATCCACTGCCAAACTAATTTGTGGGAGAAACTATGTGAGGGTTTCCCCTGGAAATGGAAACATGTGCGGGTGAAAGCCAAGCCAAAGCCCAAGCTAAAGCCAAGATAATACAATAGAAGCTAGGGAAACTTGGGTTTAGTTGGGCTGCCAAAAAGAAAACTTTGGCTGGCCCAGAAATTAAAGTCAATTACTTGGGGGAGGCGATTGAAAAGAAACCCGAACTTCTGGACATTTTACGAGCTCCCGTGGGATGTCCATGTGTGTGTGTTCTAGCCATTTTGGCAATATAAATGACGATAAATTAATTATCGGCCGATCAAGTCATTGTCGCCATTAATTATGGCCCAGGATGCTTGGGCCCAACGGCCTTTTAATAGTTTTTCACACGCCCTTTGGGACGCAGGACCTTCGGCAATTAGGAGATTTTCAGATGAGGGGCTTGAGGAGGTCGAGATGAAATATGGCGTGAATGGGTCGAGGTTTTATGGCAATGTTTGCTGCCTGAACGGCAGCATCGTCTGGGCCATGAATTTAATGCGCTGCAACAGTTAATGATTTTATTGGCACTCCGCTGGCAAGCTTGAGGAGAGGGGGCATGAAACTGGGGACCGTAAACAGTCGGGACGGGAATTTATGACTTGGCCTCATGAATATAATCAATGTCAAGAGCGGGGACCGCCAGCACAGACGCCAAGTGCCGTCTGGGGGATCGTACTCTCCCATATTTCTTTTATTTCTACAAATGCCAGTCCCCCAGAAATCTGAGTGGCCTGACCAGACGAATCCGGACTCAGCCGTAAAAGAAGTGGGGCAAATCGCTTGCCCGCCTGGCTTAAATGGCATTTCAATTTGGACTTCCGTTTCCGCAACATTCGCCATCTTCCATTCTATTGGCACAATTCTTTGTCCGTAATGTCCTTGCCAGCATTTCTTTTGGTCCAACAAAAACACGCTCACTGGGATTCACTTTTGCAGGCCCTGCTCGTCACAATCCGTAACCATTTTTCCGTTACAACTCCGAACACTTCCAATCCTTCGCCCAATAACATTTTACATTTCATTTAACTGCTGTTTTTGGGTTTAAAAAACTATTTCAACACTTTCGCAGCGTTTTTCAAGTGCGCGCGTTCAACCAATGCGTTTGAAAGTCCCAATGTAACTGAAACGGTGGCCCACGGCGTGGGCCAAACACAGCAAACATGCTACGCAGTTGGAAGCTCCGCGGAAGGACTTTAAAGGACGAGCGTTGAAAGCTTTTCTTTTCAAATTGAAAAGTAACTGACAACGACGCTAATGGACAAAAGGTGGTTGCTGTGAAACGGAGTTCTAAGTTATTTTACTTAAAAGTGTGGTGGCTTACCAGCCCATCATATTCAATGGTATAAAATAAGTACAATAAAAACATTATGTTACCGATGTTCTTAAAATGTCGATGCAGCATATAAATTAAAAAAATTAATAAGTTTTTATTTTTAAATTTACGCGGGCTTTCCTTTTTTAGATGAGTGTTCGAGTCCTCGCTAAATATCGATAAACGGGTTGAGTCCAGATTGAAATCTCCACACTGGTTAAATCTAGCGGAGACTGAAACCGGTGGTTCGAGTCTTTGATATTTTACCATTATCGAATAAAATTATCGAATAGACATAACTAATCTCCCATCTCTAGTTCACAGTTACGCTGCGCAACGTAAGCAACGTAAGCAAAAAAAGGGAGATAGCAACAACGTAAGTGTCAGTAAAAAGCGATATAAAAGATTACTGCTCTTGTTCTCCGAGAGAGCGTGAGTGAAAGAGCAGCCGCCGGGATTAGAGATGGAAAATATCGATGTTGGCGAGCCAAACATCGATTACCGATGCCTTGAAAACATCGATCTACGCTTGCGCATTGAACATATTTTAATTACTGAATTAAACGTAGTTAATTGTTTAAAAAATGCATGAGAAGTTACAAACAAGTTATTAATCGTGTGAAAATGGGCTTTTACACAAGGAAAAGTTAGCCAATAGTCAAATAGAGGCCTAGAAAAGTGCAACAAAATACGCCTGCTACTTTGTGCGTGGTGTGTGTGCCATTGATTACATAGTTGGCATAGACCAACGCACAGGTGCGAGCGAGAGGGGGCAAAAATCCGAAAAGGGGCAGCAACAGAAACCGCATTCCATTTCCAGAAATCCAGGTTGCAGCTTCCATCCATGAGAAAGGTGCGTATGTCCAGATGTGGGTTAAGATTGCTTTACCAGCTACCATTACTTGATTTCCCACCAGTGAGCGCCATGCACCACCATCATCCGCCTTTGCCCATAACAGGAGCAAGTGGCTCCACTGCAGCAGGAACGGGAACGGGAGCAGCTGCAGCAGAGGATCCGCCAACGGCTGTGACCACTGGACCTGCCCAAATAACACCGCAGCCACGCCCTCGGGCTCCAATACCCAACAGCACCAGCGGCGCCGGAAGAAACGACCCAATTACAACTACAATGGCATCCGCACCGTGGAAGTGCGACGTGGTTACAACGGATTCGGCTTCACCATCTCCGGGCAACAGCCTTGCCGGCTATCCTGCATCATCAGCAGTTCGCCCGCCGAGCAAGCTGGCCTGCGATCCGGCGACTTTCTCATCTCCGTCAATGGCCTTAATGTGTCCAAGTTGCCGCACGAGACCGTCGTCCAGCTGATAGGCAACTCCTTTGGGAGCATACGCATGCAAATCGCCGAGAACTATTACTCGGACAGCTCGGATGAGGAGAACGCCCATGCCACGCTGAGGGGTCAACTGCTGGCCGCCAGTTTGAGGCACAAGCCCAGGTTCCTCCATCACAAGGCGAAGCTTCACAGACTGCGAAACTCGCCGCAGAAGAAGTTAAACCCACCAGAGGCTGTGGAACCCCAGAGTTCCAAGGCATCCCCGGATCACCTGACCCTGCGACCCGTACTGGAGGATGCTCCTCTACACCAAATCTGTCCAAAGCAGCGGACGTGGCCAATGTCAGTGCCATGGTGCGGGCCGTGGGCAGTGCCGCCTGGAGTATCGCGTTATTGTGGCTATCTGGGAACCATTGAGATGCCCAAGCAGATTTCCCATAGCTCCAAGCTGCAGACCGTGCGTTCTTGCATTCGCAAGCTGCGCCAGGAGAAGCGACAGCCCACCATTGTGCTGATGTGCATCACGCCGGACAGCCTAAGCCTGCAGAGCGCCGGTGGCGGAGTGCTGGCCACCTACTCCTCGGCCAGACTGAACTTTGTGAGCTCCTCGTCTGAGAGCGAGAATCGATTCTTCGGTCTGGTCACCAGCGCCGTGCACAACACCCAGATCGAGGAGGAGTACGAGCCGAGTGCTGGCAACGGAGCAGCTTCTGGCCACATCAGCATCTCGCACAGCTGCCATGTTTTCGTCATCGACACCAAGCTGATTGAGCATGCCCAGCACTTGCAGCGCGCCCATGAGTTCCGGCTGCAGTGCACCAGGGATCCCATCTCGAATTTATGCCTGGAGTTTCCTAACAACTCGGAGTATGTGGTGAATCTGGTGCGCAGCATGTACACCATGCGCATCTTGCCGCCGGCCAGTCGCAGTCATCAGGCGGACTTTGATGTGGGTGCACCTGGCGCTGCAGGAGGAGCCGGAGTAGCTGCTCACTCGCCACAACCTTCGAACCACAGCGAAATCTCCACCACCACCTCCAATTCGGATTCGGGTATTGGCTTTAACAACGATTGCACGAATATTTCGGATCGCATTCTGGTGGTGGATTTTCTGGGTGCTGGAGCAGGAGCAGCACATGCAGGGCCGCCGGCTCATCCGGCGCCAGCTCGACCGCAGGGCATAGTGGGAATTCCAGATAACCGACTGACTGTGCGAGCCATGCCCGATCATGCTGCACTTCTGACATCGCCGCCGGAGAGCTCTTTGCTTCGCCGGCCCAATCTCCTGGCCAGCTTCAATCTAATCAAGAGTCCTGCCACGAACCTCACATCTACCCGCTCTGTGATGACGTACTCAATCTTTTTGTGGACGATTCGCCTCGTGGCTTGGGTGCAGTCGCCTCCATGGATGACATCTCGCTGCACTCGGCTGCTCCTTCGTTGGAAGAGGGTCACACCTTTGCTTATCCATCGTGTGTGCCCCGCAAGATGCGCAGATCTTTAATATTGGAGACGCCCACAACGCCGCACAAACTCAGTGCCCAGGTTTTGGCCAGCCTGGTTCGCGCATTCGCTGGGATTCGAAGCCATCGATAGTGTACAATCTTCTGTCAGTGAGGCATGCATCGATCAACCCATGGACACTGGGCCAGCCTGCAGAACCTGCATAAATCTCATAAGGATCGGAACAGCCTTTCTACTTCTTCTCCTCCATTGCCTTTAGAAGCTACAAACAGTGAACCAGATTTGGGGGTAAGTGGAATTTGTTGATGTTTATGTATTTTATTTTGTATTAGGTTAGTCATGTTTAAGATATTTTATAAAAATAAGTGAACTTGTTTACCAAATATTTAAATTGAAATCTGAATTATTCCGAATTCCCTTTAAAGGGCATTCTAGTTTGCGCGAGCATATTTTAATGATCGGGAACACCAGACTATATAGATTTATTATATGACCTTTTAGGATTTTTTTTAAAAGATCATTAGACTGTTTGCTGTCGTTTCAAGTTTCAAACCCTCTGCTTTTGTGAACCGTTCCTGTGCGCGGGCGAAAATCAGTTTACCTGGACGCCGCTCCAAGTTACCTGCGTTCTCGGAGCTTATCGCTCCACCTCCTCTCTGGGCCCCAGATAAGGGGTCCGAACTCTCCGACACTCTCTGGGTTCTGGTGGCCACATATCGGCGATTCCTCTGTCGGTCTACCCGGAGTTTTAGTAGTCACAGTGAGGCTTTGGCAATAGGTGGCCACGGTTCCGCTATCCCCAATCCGAATCTGATTTCGCAGTGCTATTCGCTTGTTTTACAGCCGTGCCGTTACACTGTAGCTTCGATCGCTATTATCGGGATTGGGGGTCCAAACGCGTCATGGGTGATAAGGGCGGAAATCGCCGGCTAAAAATAAAGTGCTACGCTCCAATGACGTCATGGGCGTAGGTCACGACCAAAACCGAGGGGTATATGTACATATAGCTCCTCCCGAGCGGCTGCGTCGACGCCTCCGCCGATTCCTCTGCCTCGGGCTTAATTCAATCTAAAGCAATTAATGGCGTCGACGTCGGCTGACCTTTTCGCTCCTCCAGCCGCCCCACAATCCCCCCGATTCCCGATGGTTATTCGTAATTTAGTTTGATTTTCGATTTGACAACACGCGATTTTTTTCGAACGATTTTGTGCGATTCGGTCGCCCGTTGCGGCAGTTTCACTTTCGTCGCTATATTTTCTGGATTATTTGTTTTGTTTCATGCGGTGCATATTAAAAATAAATAAAATTACCGTCGCGAAAAGTTGCTCCATAAAAAGTTCAACGCCAGTTCAAGGAGCCCCGTCAGCAGTTGTGACTGAAATAAATATAAATAAATTGTCATTACGATAAAACAAGAAAAAGTGTGTACCAATTGCAAGTTCAATTGTTTTATACAGGCAGACAAAAGGCATCTCAATGCAAAAATGTCACTTCGAGAACTCGTTTGTGGCCTGTACTCCGAGGAGAAGGAGATCGAGGTAAGCTAAGGTGGCACCATGTGGATAAATCTCACACTTATCGGTTCCCACTTGATCGATGACTCCCCCTAAAACAAACATGTCAGTTCACTGGGAAATCAACCTCTAATTATGCACAAGTCAACTGTAATCATAGGGAGAGGTTTGGAATCGCTCTATAAATTATATTACTCACATTTTGTGCCCGTTACAATTACGATATTTGCTTAGTTTATGCTTGGCTGACTTCTGTCCGATTCACCCTTATATCGGAACATTCCTTATCCCACTCACCACAAAAATGACTAAAATGAACTATGTACAATGCACATACGTATATGGTGTTGGAATTAGTAATCTCTTTCATTTTTTGTGAGCATGGGCTTTATTTTGTTTGCCTATTTCAGCACGTTTTACACTTTTCATAGATAGAATGCTCTATTTCTTTTCTCATGGTCGCAATCAACAAACAGTGCTTCTTTTGTTTGTGACCATATATCTGTGACACCTGGTGAGTGTTAATTTTATTACATGTTATGTGTTCGGTGGACTTTGATCGGTTGAAGATATAAAGGGTGACCCTGATCCTTCCTTAACTTCGAGGAAGTGCGAACAAATTTGTTTCCTTGCAACCTAATAAGGATTTCCTAATAATTGATCATCAAACATTTACATTGCCCAAAATCAAATATAATAATAAGATAGTCAACTAACATCTATTAATATCAAATTGCCAAACACATTTATATAGCACTTAGAAACGATCCATCATTAGTTTATCTGATAAATTCCTGGTAATATTAGCCACGTACTTTGGTAACCTAATGGGGCTAATTAAATGAATTAACTATATAAGTACTTTCCAAGTTTGCTGGTTAGTTATTTAAAGATTCCTAAAACGATAGCCAGCTGGGGACTAATGAGTAAGCATGTCAAGAGCACTTTTGAGAGTTGACTTCATTTTAGTCTATATAAACACGCAATCGGGGACCTAGTTGGCCGGGTGTTCCAACAGGTTGACTCTGGTCTGACGGCATTTTGGCGGTAACCTGCTTGGGTTTCCCTTGAAAAGGTGGTGTGGCACATGCCGTCACAGGTGCAAAGGAAAACAACCCCATGCCATAGGGAAAAGGTAAAAAAGAGCAGGGGTGACCCGCTAAATGAACGTTACTTTGCTTCCTTTCTGGCCAGAGGATCGTCATGGGAAGTGAGTACGAGTCAAACTCTTGTATCTTGCCTATCTGCAGGTTGATTTCTTACTATTTCGTTGGGTAACTTACGTTTTGTGCAACGGCTAGCCACGATTTGGCCTCTGTGTGCGACTTCTATTACCAAGGCCCAATGAATTCATAACGTATTTACCACCTGACGCTGTGGGAATGGAAAAACCTCCAAACTAGCTGGCCAAATGTATCTGTCAGATACGTCAGACGTGTAATTTTCGCTGGAAATTATTGTCTAAAGTTGTGTGGATGCGATCATCGTCGGTCTTATCAGTATGACTGGCACTCAGCCTAAAATACCAAAGGCCAAACACAAATGGCATGTGACAGACAAAATGTTTATTTTTAAAATGCATTATATTTAGCTGATCCAACATAACCGCATGTGTGCGATTGTTTTGATAGCAGCGAAAATAAGAGCAAGCATTGTATATGGAATATGGGGCGGTTCGAAGTACATACGTCAGAAATGCCGAAATGCTGCTAATAATAAACACCTTGCGCTCCAAGCACGTAACCCGCCAATTGAAATGACCCAAAGCAGGTGTCTAGAAAAACCCAACCGAAAAGGGCCTTAAGCGATCAGATAATACGCTACGGACTTGTTCTGTCAATAAAGTCAGTCTATATATAACCGGAACAAAACGCGGAAATCTGTTAAGGGGTGGGTTTATTTGGAAGAAGTCTACATCATTTTAAAAGAAAGCTAATATTTACTTTTTTGATAAAAAAGTGTTACTGGCTTTAACAGATACGCAATTGTTAAACTTTATAATAAGCTTACACAATCTATTTCCATAAAAAACGGAAATATTTAAAGACGTATTAATAAATGTTGTTTTAAAAATTTATTTAATCTTGGAAATTTCCAGTCGGCGATGAATATTCGTTCTCTGTATCTCACATCCCATCTCTTCGTTTTCATTGACGTAATAACTTTTAATTATTATCATTATAACCATACTAACTTATTTAAATCGATTAACATTTTTAGGATGGCCTTAGCAATGTGTGACTGGTACCAAGGGTATAAATGGCTATTATAACTTTCTAACTCAGGTATCTTTTGGAATAGTCCAATCAATATGCGAATTATGGGGTATAAAATCGTTATAAAATGGCATGCGGTTTCGATTAATGCATTCAGCAAGTGCCAGGAAAACACCTGACTCTGCTGTTCATTTTCCACCCTGATGTCGGTCTTTATGTTCAGGTTTTAGTGACTAACCGATCGACAACAGTAACAACAACAGCAGAAATTACAACAAAGAGCTAGAACAGCGAAAGCGGCCGAAACCGCTTGAAACCGCCCCGCGGTTGAAAAACGCGCGCACGCGCTCTTTCTCTCACTCCTCTCATTGTGCCGCCTCAACAGCTGCGTTGTTGCTGTCTCAGCTGCTTATTGCCATGGGCAGGGTGTTGTTGCTTTCCATTTGAGCCAGGTTAACAGCGACCTAAACGTTGAACACCGCTCAGAAACTCTGAGTCAGTCACCGAGCGCAGTTCATTCGATCACAACGTATCTTTGGTACCTTATAAAAACCGAAACTCAAGTTTAAAACATCATTAATAGGTTTCAATTACCTAGTTAACTGGGCCAATTCACTTGGCACTTACAAAACCAAAGTGTACGTTTACAAAACATAATAAAAACCAAGCTGATATATCAAGAATATTAATAAAAAATGAAAATATTATAAAATGAATTAAAGACTTTAAAGAAGTCCCCAACTGATTACTTTTTTTTAACCACACGAATTACCTTGGACAAAAACCCACAGTGAATGGTAAAAAATCCATCAACGCCACTCGAAAATAAAATCTCGCACTCCCATCAAATATTGGCTGGATAAATACAAACAGCCAGTTAATTGAACTTTGTGGCCTGTTTTCTGTGTGTTTTTCTGCCCCCCAAAAATAGAATGTGCTAAATAAATTACAAATTAAGGGGAAACAAAACGAAATGGAAATGTTTTCTTCGTCTCATAAACTTGGCGAAATTCCACTGCACACAATCACACGCATTGAAAACATTCCGTTTCCATTGCCTTGATATGAAAAGTAATCAAACAAATGAAATCCCCAATCGACGTCATAGCTAAAAACCGCGTAAATACCAGAAAACCGCCCGCAAATCGCAAGCAAAACGCTAGCGACTTTAAATGCCGACAAAATATGATGGTGCGGTATTTCCCGCAAGACAAATTTGATAATAATAGCGAGTGGGTGTGCGTAAATGTGTTTATAAACTTTTCCCCGAAGAACTTAAAGAAATGTGAATTACCAAGCAAATTCCAAATACCAACTGTGCAATAAAAACGCAACGTTTTATTCAGAATTAATCGCAACCGCTCGACTGTTCCTTCGCAAATTCCCCATTGAAACAGCCCACGGGGCTTATTTATTTGCTCTTGATGTAAACGAAAGACTAATTCACGCCAAAAATGATTCCACTTAAAAATCGAAGAGTGAAAAATCAAACAAATCGCGCTGCCTTGTTTCTTTTTCCACTTAAGTGCCAAAAATAGTAGATGGGGGCGAATTTCCG